AGAACACTTAGTGTTTCGTAATTGTCAAATACTCACTTTATTAGTTTCACTGCACTAGTACCAGGTTGGACTCCATACTTTAATTAAAAAACTAACGTCCATGATGTGAATCTCCTGTTTCACCACATTCCACAGATTAGATTAAGATCTGTTGGCCGTGGAGGCCACTGAAGTCCAGTAAACCAAGACTTATCAAACCAGGAAATCTTTTTTCCTAACCTCCTACTGGTGGGTCTGTGTGAACTGTAACTTTTTTTTCCTGTTCTTAGCTGACAGAAGTGGAACCTGGTCTACCTCAAGGTTCATTATGTTTTACGTTCAGTGACAATCTGAACCGTGGCTGTGACGAAAGGTTATTTGAGCTTCTGTTGATTTCGATCATCTTGAACCAGTTTGCCCATTCTCTTCTGACATCATCAAGGGGTTTGTTTCCACGTAGCTGTCAAATACTGGACAGTTTCTCTATTTTGGAGCGTCCTTTGTAAACCTAAAAATGGTTGTGAGTAAAAAAATATCCCTGTAGATCAGCATACTTTGAATTACTCAGCCTGCCACATTCAAAGTTACTTAATTTTCCTTCCTTCCCCTTTCTGATGAAATTGTCTTCACCACATCTAGATATCTAAATATAACAGGTTTCTGTTGATATTCTGCTTTCAGGAGATGAAGCTCTTTCCTTTCTGCAGCTGAACACTAATGGGTTTATCAGCAGCAATTTGGGGTTCAGTGGAACTCAGACACAGCAACACTTGATGGAAAAAGGAATCAAATCAACCTATTTTAGCTGCAAAACTAGAACTCATCCAGTCATCAGGTAAAATGCTGTAAGGTCCGTGTGACATTTGTTGTGAAACCTGAAGAGTGCTGACAAGGCTTCATTGTCTGTGAATGGCAAGTGAGGCCAAAGGTCACCAAGTTTTTCCAGTCTAATGAAAGTTTCTTAAAGAGAGCACGTCTCTTCATTAAACTCACGGGCAGTAAAGTGTTTGCATCATTTCGTGTAACACTTGGAAACAGAAGTCTAACTAGTCTGAACCAGTGACATCTCTGAATCACGTTCAGCAGGAACTGCTGCTGACTGACACGTTAACGGTGACCGTAATTCAGAGGGAATCTCTGACAGCTCTTCACCGCTATTGATTAGTAATTGTTGATGACACAGTTCAGAATCAGATAAAACAAAAACCCCTTTCAAGTGGCTAACTACAATCATTCCCACAAAAACCCTATTCAGCCAGATTTAAAAGATGTTTGTCAAACTAAGGCAAACGTTCATTTTAACATAACTACAAACATTAAACTGAAAGAAAGAACGTGTGCTTGGATTCTACAGATCAACTTCAGAAATGGAATAAAAGTCAAGACAGTAAATGTGTGGAAGACAGGGAGGAACGTGGAACAGTGAGGATACAAGGAGCAGAAGTCACAAAGGTGCAGGACTTGGAGTACTTCAGATCGACTGTCAGGAGTGATTTGTGACAAAAGGCTGGCAGCAAAGGTCAAAGTAAAGGTTCACAAGAATGAGGTGAGGCCAGGGGTGTAATATTGAGGGAGTATTTTGAATTGTTTTACAAACATTAAGGCTGAAAGAAAAAAGAAAAAAGGAACGACAGTCAGTTGATTGTTTCCACTGACTACGACCTTAAAAACAAAAACAACCCAACAATTAAAAGCTATTCATAGAACGACTTTGTTACAACAGGTTTTATTTACCTTAATCTTGACACACCTCTATCTAAAGCTCGTTGGGGTTGAAAAAAGTAAAACAAATAGTATTAAAAGGAATAATATAAAGAGTAGATGTAAATCAGTGATGTGGTAATTGGAAGGATTTAGTTTTCTGGGGAAGGTGCTACTGTATTTTTTTGTGGTTGATTTTAGGGGTGACCTTGAATAGTCGCTGATTTGACTATTTGATTCTGAGGACTCTGATTCGGCTATGAACGTCATGGTCGAATGTTGTTTTGTAATCAAGATCGTACCATTCTGTGTGTGATGAGGATGAGGAGGACCAGGCGGAGGATGAAAACAGTGAGATGAAGGCTTACATAAAAAACTTCACAAAATGCAGCGGAGGCCCACTGGAATGGTGGCAGAAAAACGAGGAGAGAAACCCAAAATTGTCTAGAGCAGCTAGGAGATTTCACAGCAACCTCTCCACCTCCACGCCATCCGAGAGGATATTTTCTGAGGCGGGTTTCATTGCAAATAAAGCGAGGAGCGCACTTTTACCGACCAACGTGAACAAGTTGGTTTTTCTGGCACACAACTTAAGAAAAATCAGAGGAGCACAGGAGCAGTAGAACATGGGCTTTTCATGTCAGGGTTTCCCCTAGGATTTTTTTTAACCATGGTGGCGGGCTGTCATTTTATTTACTTATTTATTTTTTATTTTAGTTTGGGGGGTGGTGACACAGACATGCCATTATAAAACTTGATTTATTTTATGCTAATATGAATCAGCTTAGTGTATTTTGTAAATATATTTGACAGTTTTGTAGGAATGAATACAGGGGTGATTCTAGGATCTGACATTTAGGGGTGCTTAGCCACCAACAGGGCTAAGACTCAACGGAAGGTATGCGTCAATGTAATTTTCTAAATATCACTGCTTATTTATGTATACTCACATACAAAATAAAATAATTTTGACCAACAAAAACAGTTAACAACTGTATATTAACTTTAAAACAGAATGTCAGAAGCCTATATGAAACCTGCCAACATCAATGAGACACATTAATATTAACAAACAGCTGTGGAGTGGACTGGTCCTAGTGGGTAGGGTTGGGCAATATTGGTAAAAAAATTAATCACGATTAATTGTGGTATTTAGCCGATAACGATTAATTTAACGATTAGTCCCCTGGAGTCTCTGGACACCGTTATGTCCTGGTCACATGACCAATTTAGTGGGAAAGATTTGCTCTTCATAAAAATCTGTTCCAAATTGTCAAAATTACAGACTTCAGGCAATACATCAAATTCTAAATTATGTTGATAAATAAATTACAGGACTTTTTTATGTTCATCATATTTGAAGCAGAGAGGAGCACCGAGCAGACTGACTGGAGAAATCTTCAGTCAGTCTGCCTGGTGGCATTAAACGTATTAATTGTCAAGTGCCAAAAAATAATCGATTAATGTTTTTCTGACGATTAATTGCACATGATACGATTATGCCCAACCCTACTAGTGGGGTCCAAACTATGCATTTTCCAGTCATTTGAAGAGCATTTTACTAAAGTGACTGGATTAATAAAACAATCCAAATCCAGTTTATTATCAAGCTAAAATGGTGAAAGCTAGTCTTTAACCTGAACTCTACCTGAAAATCAGATCAAAAATTGCAGTATGTTTATTTTTACCTGAACGTTACATAGCATTATGGGTTGGAGTTTTGCTGTTTCACTTCATTATTCATGAAATGAGTCTATCATGAGCTGTGTTTCTATCAACGTTTTTTAATGTGCATTTTGAAGTATCGTATCCGACAAGGTCATGATTCGAAAAAACTTCCTCCAATTCGCATAAAAGTTGATACGCTCGCTTGAGGTGTTTTTTTTTAAGTTAATGCAAAAAAGGAGAGATGGAAACACATTTGTCGAATAAGTTCTGACGTAGCGAACATTTACCTCACGTTGATCAGCTGTTCTCTTTTACTTCCTGTTTACTACACACACGCATTTGACGTGTCTGATTCGCTTCAAGCCAGTTGATGGAAACACATCTGATTTGCATTTATTCGTTCTTTCCTTTTTGCGAAATTTTAAACATTCGCTAAAAATTCGAATTGGATGGAAACACAGTTATAGTTACAGTACAAATCATCTTTCCATTCACAGGTAAAAAAAACAGCCCAATAAAGACAGTGGGCATAAAGTAAGCTAAATAACTTTGTCCTTTCCAGGCACAGTGTAATAACATAATGTGGCCTAACAATAGGGAAATAAATCAGCCTAAATGAAATTGGAATAGTTATCACTCTTAGCCCAGCTAAAGCAATATGATCATCATCCATCATGTTTATTAGTAGCTTGAAATATATATTAAAAGTCCCACAGGGCTAGTGTTAACCAGGAATAGCTACAATCCAGAGACAAATATGCAGTATTAAGGAAGTATGGCTGCAGCAGCTTCATGAAAACAACAATATTCCTCCATAAAAACCCGGTTTCCTTCTAACATAACGATCTCTCCAACTTTTACTCTTCCTCTCATTATATTACTAATTTCATTCTAAACAATCCGTACAGCTGTTCATGTTCTTTTTCATTGTTTATGTGCACTTTTCTGATGCTTGATATGTGCACTGACGGTGACCTTGTTTGTTAACGTTATATTTTGTTTCAGTGAATAAATAAACAAAGCAAACCTACCATGTTTATTTATTTATCTGAGTGATTTAAGTTTTTCCTTTGAAACAGAAAAAAAAAAATCGCAAATGAGAACGGTTTATTTGTGGGGATCCCCGTTTATGGTGCTCTAGAAAAAAAAGATTAGACTATTAGTTGACTAAGGGCAAAATCTGACAAATCAGATTTGACTATGAAAATCCTTAGTTGAAGACACCTCTAGTTGATTTGCTTACTTTTCTGGCTGACAGTCTTGACGTGACCTGCAGTTTAAATAAACCTCAGATCTGAAAACACAAAACTTCTCAACACTTGCCTCAGCAGAAAAATATTTAAGATAAACTGAAGACAGATGGATCCTCTTTGTCCAAAATGGCATGTTTCTAAACCTGAAATCTTAAAGTTGTAGTGAAATTTGTGTGGTCTTGAGTGTTTGTTGATGCATTGAAATGCATGTCCTCAGAGTTTATCACTGTATTGTGTGTCTTTGCATCTAAGCCACGGTTGGCATGCTTTATCAGTAAGTCTTTGCAGGACCGAACTTGCGTAGCGATTCACTTTTAGGTTCCTAAGAAGAGGAATTTTAAACTACTGAAAAGCTGTGATTTCTCATGAAAGTCTCTCCTGGTCGTAAACTTGATTTACCTTGGCGAAGCATTTCTTGTCCTGGGTCAAGATGACGGCCCTTCCTGTGCCTGGTCTGCAGACACGAGCCATCTCTCTAAGACAGGAAGGATACAGGTCCCAGTTTTTCTTCCTTGAGCCAATTCTTTTAATAAAAAGACAAAATAAACAACGACACAGTTATTGTTTTATGCTGCTGTTATACATCAGTATCAATCAATTTGAAACTGAAATAATTTTAGGAAACTGCATAAAGTAACAAATCCTACAAAAGTCTGCATTAAATATCAAATAATAAAAAAAGTTATTTTTATATAAGGCAGTTTAACCAGGACTATAGTTATATTACAGTCAGCTTGTTGTCTCATTAAACACTCAAATCATCTTCTACGTACAATAAAAACAAGCTTGTACAGCATACCTCTTCCCAAAGGGCATGTCCGTGACGCCAACGTCAACAGAGCCGGTCCTAATGGGCAAGTTGCAAATGTCCCACTGCACCGTATCAATAGGCAATCCAGGTGTGCTGTTTGAAATCAGAGCATCAATACCATGAAAATTTTCTTGTCTACACTTCTCTGAGCAATATGATCACTAATCTTATAAATGTTTAAAAGTTGAAACTATATTCTGAAAACACATATAAAAAGAAAAGGGAATAATAAAGATGGCACAATGTAGATGTGAAAAATATTTTTATTTACATTTTGGTGCAGGATTAAAAAAATTTTAAGAGCTCAGGACTACTTTGCTCCATGTGAAAACTTCCCCAGAACTGAAGATTTTTGTCATTTTTTGGCTGAAAAACTGCACAACCTGGTAAATTTCTAAAAAAAGGAAAAAAGAAATAATGGGACGTGATATTTACAGATGGTGCCATAAATGTTTGTTGATGTTCCAAAACAGTTTTTGATAAGACGAATATCAATCTCTAAACAAATAGGTTAAGGAGTATTTGAAAGGAATAGCATTTACATTAAAATTGCTGGAGGAATTTCCAAGGAAAAATAAAGTTAAAAAAACGACCTGGACAAAAAAATAAATAAATAAATAAAATAAAGAAACACCTTTTCCAGCAAAAACAAGCTTAAAAAGGAAGTCACTGAAGAAAGGCAGGTCATGTTTCATAAATATTTCAACACTTTGAACGCCTTCATTCTGATGAGGATTAAGCCTGCTGTCAGTAATGAAAAATGACCAAAAGAATTGAGCAACAAAACAGCACTTCTGTAACTAAAGATTCTTCACACGCAGCCTATAATCTTACAAATACAATTGATGGTTTTCAACTTAAAATTCAAGAAAAACATGTTATTGGTGAACAAACTGTGATGTACTGTAAGGTTTTTAGGCACTCGTCACTCACCTGCCCTTCGCTGCTCTCCTTTTCTGGATGTGACAGATGTTATTAACGGTGCGATTAACTGCCATGTCATGGTTATCCCCAGCGATGTAGAATGAGCTGTTAAACTCAATAGCACCCTGCAGAAAAACAATGGTACACTTTAGTTAGCCTATAGATGAACTTGACATCAAAAACACACAAAGACATATTTATTAATACGAAGGTTCAGTTTAAGGTGCAAAACATGCTTAACAAAAGATGGATAAGAAAGTGTTACTTTGTTTAAAATGTTTTACATTTGTGTTTAAAAAAATAAAATCAGTGCATGTTTAATGTTTAAATTTGCACACTTGTGTAGTACAGAGGCTACAGGACACTTCTTCACTCCCATGTACAGGTAGATCAATTTAATTGGCCGATAAAAAACAAGTAATGTGCCTAATGATCAAATAGAAATATTAAGTTATAGCAGCAGCTCCTACAACCACCTTAATGTAGCCCAAGATTTACAATTACCTGTAAGTACATAAGTTCTTCTAAAGGTTGTTAAATATATGCTGTTTATATTTGGAAATTACTGTTGTATTTTGTTAACATTATTATGCCCTGATTTCTACAGCTCAGTGTTGGTCGAGCTCTATTCTTTTATGTTAAACACCTGACAGATTAAAGACGTTGACAGTAAATGATTGTGTGTGTGTGTGTGTGTGTGGGGGGGGGGGGGGGTCTTAATCAATATTATTGGTGCTCATAATGTGTTGGAAGGTCAAAGGGTGAATCCTGACCAGTATGTTTATACAGGTCTACACCCACAGACCAACACCACAAAAACAACTCACCTCCAGTGGTATTGCTCCTGTTCCACACATTGGATCAATTACTACATCAGATTCCTGAAGTTTACATAACCTGTTAACAGAAACAAGAGCATTGGGCGATATTGGCAAAAATATTAATCACGGTTAATTGTGGCATTAAACAGTTAATATAATGGTTGCTAGAAGATAATTGCATTATGTGGCACTGATTGCTGTAACTGCAAAGAATCAAATCCTAATTGCTGACAAGTTTTTTTTTACATTTAATTGCATATGATGTAATTTTGCCCAAACCTAAAACACAGAATATTTTTCCTATTTATTTACGAAAACACGACACAAACCATTTCTTGTAATGTCAGACGTTTCCAAAATTTACTTCAGTGTTTCTTTCGTTAGTTGAATTAAAATTAGGGAATCATAAAGCACAGCGATATCTAAATGAATGCAGACCTAACCTTGAAGTTCTTTTATTTAAATTTTAATATTTTTAAGTTTTTTTTAATTAACTTCAGTTCCTTTTGAAGCTGGTATGGTGCTGGGGGGATTAACTCTGCTGTCTCACAGCAGGAAGGCTCTGAATTTGAACTTGTGATAAGCTTAGCCTTTTTTATTCTCTGTGCGAAAACAACATGTTCTGCTTGTGTGTTCCAGGTTTTTTTGAACTGTCCAACAATTGTTAAATGTATTTTTGTTGGCAGTTTATAATCACTGCAGGTGGTGATTATAAGGGAGCTTTAGAGCTTCATGAAGGTCAATAGCTTTGTGTAGACATGAATGATGTTCTGTCCTTCTATAAGCTTAACATGCAAGGTGTTCCAGGCCAACGACCCCAAAAATCACAACGGAAAAGGCAGTTGATAGCTTTTAATTGGGTATTGTAACACACGGCGCCAGCAGAAACCATTTGGCTTCCACATATTTGGAACATGAATATAAAAACAAAACAAGTTTATCTGCTGAACACTAGTGCCTTGCAGCAGTTTATACATAACATCATTTTGGGTTTTTCCAACATGTTTACAATCTGTTGAAGATGCCAATTCAAACATTTTTTTTGACTGCCATTTCCTTGTCTAAAGCCAACCAAAACGTCAAGTAATCTTGATAAGTGTGAATTCTCAAATCACTTTTAGATAGTTCACTTCTGGCACAACCTTACATTAAATGTTCACAATATGTTCCCTTTGATTAAACAAATGATTCTTTCAGCACTTGCACTAATGAGGCTGAAACAATCAGAAAAGTTTAGTTTGGCTCAAATATAGACTTACAAAAGAGAAAACAAAAACTAAAAACTGCATTAATTAAAAAAATAAACTGAAGTCAAATCTGATAGTTAGAACTGTTATTATTTTGGAGGAGGATTTCTACAACGTTACTTATGTTATGTTACTTATAATGTGTGATTAATGTCCTGTTTCATGCTTATCCAGAGTTTTTAATGCCCAGCGCCGTGTACTGGTGCTTTTCTTAAGTTCTTCTTTGATTCCTGTAAAGTGTCTGAGTTTGTAGAAAAGTGCTATTTAAAATGTATTATTATTTATTATTATATGCATGTTTATTAAATGCAATAATATACAAGCATGAGTATTTTTTTAAATTCAGTCATTTAAAATGTAACAAAGATAAATTTTAAGTTTTGATAAACCTTGTGGATAGTCACAAAAAAAGACAGAAAACTGTAAGCATCAAATTAAATGATAATATTCTAAACATAGCAATTGTAAAGCATATATTACCCAAAAACGAATAAAATTTTTCTAAAATGAGACTCAGGACCGTGGAAAATATGACTTAGAAGAATAATCACACGCCTATTTTGTAACCAACTAGAATAAACACAAAGGTGTGACGCGCAAATGGAGTTTACTTTTGTTCTTTACCGGTTACGCCTGTGTTCACTCAACAATTATCAAAGCCGATCTACGCAAGTATTTTCTGCATTTTTTAAAACTTGTCAACGCCTCAGCCACGTGTCAACAAAACATGCTTTCTGCTTGAAACCAGAGTCAGATGTGAAAAAAAAAAAAAGATCACCAAGTGAACTGAACAAAGCAGGGTCAAACTGCAAACAGAGTTACCTGAGCATGCCATAGCACAGTGTGGAACGCAGGGTGGTGGGCCCAAAGTGACTGATGTTTCTCCTGTGAAGACTCTCCTCAGTGAGTGCAATCCCGACCACTACCTCATTGTTTTGTATATTCAGTAAAACCTGCAACAGAAGACGCAGCCTTTAATGAAAAATGACAAAAAAGTAATGTAACAAAAATGCACGTCTTCATTAACCTTTACCACTCTAAACTTTACCAACATGTCTCAACATGTAAACAGCTTATTTTAAAGGAAAGCGTAACATAATATTCTTGCTGTGATTTATTTTGTTAATCCCAAAAGTAAATATTGTGTCATGCCTTGCATGTTTATCTTTACGAGCAGAGGGGTTTTTTTTGGCCTGGAAGCTGGAAATTTAATATGCTGCAGTCCGGTTTGAACAAGCTGCCTACCTCTATGTCAAATTTTGTCATGTCTGCTTTCCACTGGAAGAATTCTTGCACAGCCCCACCGAAGTCTCGAGCTGCCTCGTTAGAAGAGAAGCTGTGTTTGTCCCCGGCCCGGTTGCACGTCACACGAAATTTGACGAGCTTGGCCTCAGGCAACGCTGCCTCCGAGCCCTGCTGGCAGCTCTCCGAGTCAGGCGCGTCCTCCGGCTTGGTGTCGCCTTCAGCCGGAGACGTCTCCTGAGTTAATGTTTGCTGCTCGGTGTCTGCAGCAACCACGTTACTGACGTCACTGTTAGCTTTTGCTTTCATGACGTTTCCTCCTTTCCTGTGGCCTTTCTTCTTTTTAAGTGTTCTGTTGAGCTCCCAGACTTTCAGAGCATTATTCCATGGAAGTTCGGAGGCAAGCTGTTGCAGCTCCATCAATGTTTCCTCCTGCAAAAACGACAACAACAAAAGTTACTCAGGCTAAATTTATTACGTACATACTGCTTCAACTGACATCATTAATATGTCTGCATGGGGTTTGTCTATGCCATGCTGGACAAATAAAATATATCAACTGACGGTCCTGGATCCATTACAACTTTTATGTGCAGAATTCGTTTATTTATTGAGTGCGATGGCCTGGAATCTTAAATAAATAAATAAATACCACACAAATGTTTAAATATCTTGAGACACTAAAGCCAGTTGACAAGCAACAATACTAGAAAAAAAATAGAAGTTAGGAACAAAGTACTTTGACATCAGAATCAGTTTTATTGCCATTGTCAATGAACAGGATTCATAGACTAGGAAAGACATGGAAAATTTATTGGGTCTGGTCTTCCAACATGGCGGCTAGACTGCGTGTAAACAAACTGTGACATCACCACTGAGCAATCAGTCCAGCTGGACCAAGCTTACCTTTGATTCTTTGAATTGGTAATGATCATATTCATCAACTACAACAAACAGGTTGTCTACAGATCGCAGAAGATGGACCTACAAGATTTAAAAAAAATTGTTCAGGTATTGTTAAAAATGTATATTAGATTATATATAGATGTATATTTTGTAAAAATAGCACACCTGGTGTCATATTAAATAGATCTGATAACATACTGTGTCAGCTTAGAGTAAGTAGCTAGGGGTGCAAAATGAGGCGGGGAAAGATTCCCACCTGGAAAAGTTTGTCAGTAGTGATTGGAAAATATATACGGCCACGATCTTTGCTGATTCGTGCATCAACTCCAATCTTTTCTTTAACCTCCTCAGCAGCTGTGTGCTCGAAGCCAGTGGGCACGGTGGCTCCGATGGTGACTGTGATGATGGCAGAATCAGTCTCGGTGCTGGATGAAAGGGATGGGTCAGGTGTGTGAGAGGTCTGCTGTGCAGCACCATCCTCATGATGAGAGGACATACTGCTGGTGATTCTGACCAGGGACAGCTGCTGTCGAGCTTAACAGGCCACCTTTAGAAAAATATGAAACAGCATGACACAACCTACCAGTTCTGAGAGCTTTAAATTGGATGAAACTGCATATGAAACTATGTGAATCACACACGTGCGAAAACCGAAAAAACTTAGCTGACTAACGTTAGCCTCTAGCCAAGAAACCCTAAAACAGTTATTTATACATTAAATAATAGAGAGTGTTAACCACACATAAACGTCTATTAATGTAAAGAGACGAAATTTTTATTTGAATAAAGCTGAGAACATTTTTAAATGCTCTGCAGTGAAGAAGGACCAACCTTAAACACACGAGGTAATAACACACTTCCGTATTACGATAGCACTGCTTCCGGTGTGGAATTTCAGAACAAAAGCATCATCTTTGCGCCACTGTGATATTTTTTCTTTATTGCTGTTGCAAGCCAACAGACTAATTAGTGTAAAAGTAATAAGTTAAAAGGCAGAAATGTATTTATATATTTTATAATTTTCCCCCTTTTATTTGACAGTTCCGTTTCTTGTCCTCAGAGGCTCGGACGAGGTTCACTGTGATTGGTTGATTTAGTTAAACCAGAACGACGATTGGACATGACTGGGGTGGGCGGGCTCAGTCGCCACTGCTGACACTAACCTGCATGTAACCGACAGAGGGCGACGTTTCATAATGTTAGAGCAGAAAACAGCTTTATTGAACAAATGCAGTATTATAAGAAACATACCACACAGACTTGACAAGAGGAACGTAAGATAGAAGTCAGAAAAGTAGCTGTAATGTTTAAAGGGTTTATAAAAGCCCTCATAACAATATAGGTAGAATAAAATATGGATTTTTTATTAGATTTGTTGTTTCATATTGTTTATTTACATATCTGTACTTGTGAACAGAACAACTTGTTCATTGCTTTTAAAACAAACAATGTTGACATTATAAAACACATCTTAAACCAATTAGTCATAGTGACAATACCCAACCGCATTTTGTCTGTGAAAGCTGCTTATGGTAGCATAATAAATAAACTTACATTGATTTTTTTTCTCTATAAAAATTATAATTTCCTTCGGCAGTGCAAGCATTTTAAACTAGACGTGTGCAGTCACCTGTAATCTCCTTTTCCCATTTATCACACGATTAATGAAGTTTATGTTCCGAGTGATGATAAGAGTAACTGTCTTCTCCTCTGTCACAGTTCCTTCTGTGATTAATTGTCCCTCTGGGCTGTGAAAAGTAACAGACAGATTCTGTCTAACATCTTGCAGAAGGAAATGAAGAGCAGTTCTGTTTATTTTCCCTGTCCTGATTGATCTTTAAGACATAAGTAGCTGTCTGCACTGATGTAGCTGGGAATTAAAGCTGCTTGTTTCATGCCTCAACTCATATCTGCAATGCTTGTTAAAGCTATTATAATGTTGTTGTTTTCTTGCCTTCTGTTGCAGGTCAAATGATTAGTAAGTGTGAAGTCTGAGAGACAAGTGGGTGTTTGTGATTTTGCACAGCAGATGGCCGGTGTTGCACAGAGGACAGTCACATGCAGCAAAAAATAAAAAAGTTTTGGAAAGTCAACGATGCCACATAGGCAAAGCCAAAGTCAAATGTCTGCATAATGTCTTTATTCTGTATGCAGAAAGCAGCTGACGGGAAAGGAAAACTTTATCTTGAGAGGGATTACCTTGCATCGCTCCGGGGTCATTAACTGACAAGAGAGAAAATAGAACACATGAGTCATAACCTGAAACCAGATCTAACAGTGGGGCACACCTTCCTTCCACAGCTCAACACAACACTTATCAATAACTTTCAGGTTACACTTGAAGACGTGACTAAATGTCACCTTTTCTACCCAAAAATCACATTTTCTGCAAGTATTGCTTCACACTGGGAGATGGTTGACAAATATGGCATTACTACATTGTTTATTGTATGTGAAAACACAGTTTTATCTGCTAACTATGTAAACCGAATGAACAGAAAAGAAATCTGAGACAAATTACAATTTAGTGGAATCCGTTCTTAAAGGAACTCAATATGTCGGTTGTTCCAAACATCTTGGAGAACTTTTTACACGTATTCTGTGGATGTCCCATTCAGTTGCTTCTTGTGATTCTGTCTCAATGATGCTGACATCAGGACTGGGTGGGTCACACCATCACTTCCAAGACTTGTGGTTCCTCTTTAAGCTTAAGACAGTTCTTAATAACATTAGCTGCATGTTCGGGGTTTTAAATGTGAGAATGATTCAAGACATTCCTGTTGGTGTTGAAAACACCTGCCAGTATTTCTTAGCAGTCTACATAGCAGACAGGTGTGGGCCAGTTCTGGCAATGATGGCACTGTTTTAAGATGGTATGCCACAACTGGCACAGTGGTTTGGTTTATGTGGTGCTGGCCCAAACACATACCACCTCTGCCAAACCACATCTGGGCCACCAAAGGACCATCATCTTTGTGGTATCTGGGCTGGGTGTTAAATGTATTTCTCCAGAGCACTTGCTTCCATTCCTCTGTACACCAGTTCTTTTGTTTTCAGGTGTGTGGCTTGACCTTGTTCCCATATTGGACATTTTGGACATCAAAACCTCTTTTGGTCATACTTCCCTGATCAGTAGATGAGTGTACCTGAGTCTTTCCGGTGTCTGACTGTTTTGAGTTGGTGGGCGTCGCCTATTGCTTGGGTGGAAGGCAGCTTGCTGATGCTGTGGTGATGTTTGACATTTAACTGTTTAGGGTCGCCCTGTTAGCAGACTTTAGCTTTTCCTCACCCAGTTTTAAGCTTCTTGGTTCTGCTTCATGATAACATAAAGATTGTTACAACCAGTTTGGTGTAAATGGTTGATCAGAAATGAGACTCTGATCATGTAAAATCCAGACTTTGTGCCAGAGTACCTAAAAGAAGTGATTTTTACCATCCCTAACTCAAGTTAAGTGAAAGAATTAATGAAGTGATTACAGAAAGGGTTCATTGCTGTGCGCAGCTACTCTGGCCTTTGTCACACTTGGTGTGTCACACAAGTGATGCGTCCTCGCTCTTCTTCACTCCTCGGACGGGTGAGCGAGAAACAACACGGGCAGAACCATGAAGATACACAGAGCAGGTTGAATTTTGACACATTCAGACAAACACAAGAAGACAGGATCTTTGGCCCTGTCTCGTGTCCAGTTTCACTGATAACACAAAAAGGTCCACTGTCAGGGACCTCAGGGGCTTTCAATCCTATAGAGGGATTTATACATGTTCATCAGACTGGAATTACAAAACAAATTCAAAACTCATAGACAACTGCAAAAGAGATGCACAAATGTGATTGTTGGTTATAAAACTATTTATTTTTTTACACTAGTTTAAACAGGGTAAACAGATCATAATCATGGGCAAATGATTCCTTAGATCATGAATCATGCTTTATTGTTTGTTGTATCTTTTAAATGAACCACATAAAATGGTTACATAACCCCTGCAATGGGTGCTTATTTGTGTTTGTTTACTTTACAGTCAGTGTCCACCTGCAAATATCACTCAGAGAAAACCTATGAATATATGTATTTTATTCTTTCTTTCTGTATACTCTGACTCCTGTGTGCTGCAGACACAAATGGAATACAAATGTGTGCTCCGTGTGTCAGTTTACCAGTTTGCACCAACACAGGATGTGAGTTAACAGCCTGGTGCCTTTTGAGCTGAGAATAGCTAAGGTGACAGATAACAGAGTGTCGCCACCCCCTCACCTCCTCCTGCCTCCCATCATCTACATGACAGTATCTGCCAGGAAAAAAAAAAACTTCTGACACTTTCTGACACTATATTGCTTACAAAGACTGTCTTTCTTCTTGACATTTTGCACAGATAGGAGTAAACACCATAATAATTGGTTCAATTTCACCAAATGTTTCATGGAACTGTGAAAAGGCACAGCTCTGTAAAAAGGTTTTAGGCTGCCCCTAATTTCTACTTTTTGCTTCCAGAGGGACTGACTTTCCTGTAAGTTTTTAAAGTAGTCTTGATCAATAGTTCTATAGACTTTCTGAAGAGCTTTTAAAGCGTTTTGTTTTCCAACTCGAACTGCTTCTTCTGTGTTTGTCTGTGTCTCTTTCCTGTCCCTCAACCAGCCGGTCGAGGCAGATGGCCGCCTGTCCTGAGCCTGGTTCTGCTGGAGGTTTATTCCTGATTAGCATGGAGTTTTTTTCTCCACCGTTTGCTCAGGATGGGAGACTGTGATGAAGTGATTCAACGCAGCCTGCTGGTTTCTTCTTTAGATTGTTCTTTTTATGTACAGTGCCCTGAGACAACCTATGTTGTGACTTGGCGCTATATAAATAAACTGAACCTGAACTTGCATTTTCATTCATTTTCTGTTCAGTTCTTGTACAGGAACATGACACGTATCTTTTCTTTTTCGTTCAAAAGATAAAGATAGTTCTATTTTTTTTACACTGACGAAAAGAACAGAGATTGAAATGCTGGGAAGAGAAGTTAATTAGATGGAGTGATGACAAAGACAAAGGTCCTTAATTGTTCCGATTTGCAGGAACACAAAACACAAAAAACCTCTCTGAAGCCTGGAGTATAAAGGAAGTGCTTCTTTAGCAATCATCACAATCTCAGCTGAGATGTGCCTCATGCTAAAAGTCTGGCTGGGATAAAAAAAATGCGAAGTTTCCTTGGCAACAGCGTGTACGGAGGTGACATTGTTCAGTGACTGTTAAACCAATCAACAATGTAATATTTAATGAGGTTGTTGTAGAAACAGCTGCTGAATGGCACTGAGCAACAGTAAAATCTTTATAAAAGCTTTTATTTGTTGCGGACACAAAGTCTTAAAGGAGAGATCAGAAATCCAGGGGCACCTCCAGAAAGTTTTTAAAGGGATGACACTTTTTAGTTGGGATGACAAACAAAAATGAAATGTCTAAAGTTTTATTATGACATTTTTATACATATATAGGTTACTTGAAAAGCATTGTAAAGTGGGACTGATATTGAATCACCGTCTGATCCAGGCCAAGCCTATATTTTTATTATACTTTGCAGCTGATATTAGGCCACTGGGAGCAGCACAGTCATTAGTTAACTCACAGAAACTCACTGCTCCTCTTAAGTTCATTTTTATTACTGAAACTAGAACTCATTGAAAGAATGCATATCGTCCATCGCCTTGCTCTGCAAAGTTTTAAACAAGAATCTCATCTCTCTATGTTCTCGGAGTATGTAGTGGGGTTAACTCTTGGCAACTACCACGCCAAATTTTAGCTCAATCTGTTTAACTGAGTGTGTGTAGCCACTTATGTGTTAGCTGATGTCAATAAGCTGTGGCAGCCATCTTGAATTAGGTTGAATCCAAAATAAAATTGTTGTAGTCGTACAGTACATTTTATGAGCGTCATTAAAATCTACATTCTAACAGAACAAATCATGAATTTAAAGTTGAATTTATATTCAAGAACTTTGCTCTCTCTGTTATTTTGTTCTATTAGGAGAGAACCATTCTTGACCCAAAGTCTGAGCACAACTTTTTCCTACCGGGTGTTTGTAACAACTATTGTGTGATTGGCCAGAAATTTGAATGGCTGGGCCGTTTAATGTTCTCACGCTGTTCCATGAGATGCTCAGGAGCCAGTGTGGCTGTGAGCTGTTCTGTGGCAATGAGAGTATTAGCTGCTGGAAGGTAACGTTAGCTTCTGGGTTCCAATATTTGCAGCATAAACTTTAATCAAGGATTTATCATTGTGTTGTGCTACGGCAAGTAGCAAGAAAGAGTCAATTTACAAAGGTCATATCACACCATTCGCACAGCATCCATATTTTCGAAATAATTCACCAACGATGGACTACATTTCCTCAAAATCCTAGCTATAATCATAAAAATATATGGGAAATTTATACTTAAATGCTGTCTAAATTTATCATTTATGGCTATGCTTACACACATAATACAAACAAATCATGAGAAATTTTATTCTGAAACCAAAAGCTTTAAAAAGGAAAATCAGGGAAGCAGTTTAAACTGTTGTTTCAAGTTCATTTTCCAAATAATTAATTGTTTTGATTTGACTTCAGAATTTTTCACTGGCTTTATTGCATAATATCACATTTCCTAGGCACGCTTTTCGGAGCACCTCTGGACTTTGCACCAGAGCGGACACAGTGTAAATATAGGGGGAGCTCTCCTGAACAGAGGCTGGCATGCTGCCTGTGAGTCCTGCTGAACAAATTAACGTTGTAAAGACATTTGCTAATGTTTTCCTTTTTCTCCATCAACTACAAAAACGTCCATCTCTGTGATGGTCAGTGTTGTAACAACACTAACCAATCTGATTTCCATGCCATGCATTCTGATCATCATCAGTCAATCATGTAATCATCAGTTGGGGTCCCACAAACGAACGCAGTGATGGGACTGGCTTCCTGGAGATTAGCAACAGGGTTTATTTAAAAGTATAAAATGTCCTCACGGAAAACAATGTCTATTTAAACGCCATAAAGAGAAGAGATTTCCTCACTTCTCATGGAATATAAATCTGCTTTAAAACTGTCTGACCTATCAGGGGGGCAGTGTGGTGGCACAGCAGATTTATAGGGGGCCCCTCTTTCCCCCCTCCTCAATGGCGCCCCTGCGTAAATCTTTAAAAGTGAACAAACGCGTGCAATGTGCATTTGACCAGGGTGCAAGAAACTGTTTCTGAGTTCACGTGATGTCCTCTGAAGTGATGCAAATGTCTGCGTGGGTGCGGGGAGGCAGGATGGGGGGGGGGCTGGCTGGCGTGACAATGTGAGGAGGCTCATGTGATGTTCTTTTTAAATTCCTGTTTCCCCGCAGCGCAGTTCTTCAGCCAGAGCTGCTGCTGCTGGTTTTACGCATGTCTGTTTGACACCGACAGACCTGAACAGAACCTTCAAGCGTCGCTCTGCTCTCCTCACCATCATGCTGTGGCGGTTCTGAGCTCGTTTGCTTTTTCTTTTTTTTTTTTTGCCTTTGTGTGTGTGTGTGTGTGTTGTTATTGCGAAGCCTTTGTGGACTCCTGCAAGAGAGAAAGAGAGGAAGCAATGCAGCTTCGGACCGATGCTCCGGTGTGATCCGGTCCATGTGTGTGATCTGATAGACTGCCTCCGGGCTGCAGAAATACTACAATAGCGTTTAGCCTTCAAGAAGAGGCCAGTGACTCTGAAGGGGTGGGAGGGGAAAAAAATTACAAGAGAGCCGGAGGATCGAGCTGCAAGTCGCGACCAGAGTCCAGGGTCTCACCCTAAAGCCTGAGGAGCCATGTCATCCACCAAATTTAAAAAAGATAAGGAGATCATAGCGGACTACGAGACCCAAGTAAAAGGTGGGTTTCGAATCTGTTCTTTTTTATTATTTTATTTATTTATTTATTTATCTTTCCTTGCAGACTTCTTCAGCCCAGTCAGGTGATCAGTAATCCGTGACAGCCAATCAATGCTCTGACACGATGAGCATTAGACTGTAAAAAACTTGCTCCAGCCGGTGTCCTTTTTTTCTTTCTCCCCTGTATCTGGGTGTCAGTGAGGCTGAATGTGTGGAGAAAAGGCAAGCTTTGTTGCTGGGTGAAGAAAAAAAAAAAAACCCTAGACCTTGTAGAGTCCACATTTGGCTTCTTAGTGTTTCTGAGCCAGATTTAGGAGAAGATTTATTGGGAATAAAAACCTGGTCATTCCAGATGCATTGCTCCTGGGTTCAGTTTTGGAACCTACATTTGCTTCTGGAGCCTCTCTGGATCTTTTAACAAAACCTGGACTGAGAAAATGTGCAGCCTGATTTAGGTGCACTTTTTGTCCACTGGCTCATTTCTTGAGCCATAAAATCTGTCAATACACATCTTTCTCCTTACACTGTAAAAAGGGTTTTAGCCTGATTGTTGTTTCAGCTCATTATTAAAGATATTGCAAACTATAAAATACAAAAAACTTACCTAAAACTCTATCCAGTGGTGCAGTTTGAATTTACTCCATTAGTTTTTGGGTATACTGATATGCTGTTCTGAAATGCGGGTAGGCGCTCAGTGCAAACAAAGCATTTGGCTGAAGGCATGGGAGCTTGAATCATGTGATCAACATACATTAGGCTGGCTGTCGTCTGAATCATGAAGAAGAGGGTTAGGTGGAAATATAAGAGCATTTTGTTGACCAAGAGTGACGGTGTGGAGTGTCAGAGTGATGTGATGGACAAACACAGGGGAGGAGGTGGGGTTGGGTTTCTGACAAGCAATCCAGCATCGTTATATATTTGGGCTTTTAAAAACTACAGTATTTATTGCATATTATATGATGCTGAAAGCATAATTTAAATATGATAATTATATGTGGTAAAACTGGTCATGTCAGTTTGGTTGGTGGACTCATGTTTGTGTTATCACCATTTTTAGTCTCTGTCTCTTCCTCTTTGCACTGCATCTTTCATGCCTTTTTTTTTTTTTTTTTTACAAAACTGAGACATGCTTTTATCACAGAAGGCAAAAGGACAATTATGTTTTTGCCAGCCTGTTCTTTGGTTTTCCGTACCGAATATGTCCCTTCATAAAATATGTTTTTTTAAAAAAATATCTCATAAACTTTCTGAGAGATTTTAGTGAAAGTCTCATAAAGTAATCATCTACATCCTAATGACATTTAGAATCCAATTCAAGAGAGCCTAATCGATCTTAGTCAACACAAAAGTGGCTAAAATTTAGTCATATTTAAAGATATTTAGCTAAACTGTGGTGTGGTTGTAGCTGAGAATCATTCAAAACAAACTCAGAGGGCACATCTCACATGATCAGCATCACATGAAATAGATCAAAATGTCCTTTACAAGGTTTGACCAAAATGGTTACAACTCTGTGCCTTCTCATCTCAGACATTTTGTTGAAAGTACGTTTTGGAGGCACTAGAAGATCAGTCAAATAACTCACTGTGGCCAACTAAGCTAAACTCATTTCAAAAGGTCACATCACGTTGAAAGTGTCTTTTTAGGTTCAGTGTAATTTTGTTCTGTTTCAATCCGCTTATAAATTCCACACTGTAATCAAATTAATTTAGATCAGCTTAACAGAAACAGAGTTTAGACAACTTACTGTTGTAACTAATCAAATCAAATCAAATCCAAATGAGTAAATTCAAACCGACCAAACGAACACAGAGGCAGCCATTTCAATCATTCTGAGGTTAGATTTTACAGCGCTTACTCCAAGGCCACCTCTTTGAGATTCCAGCATTCTGCATTCAGCTTAGATCCTGCTGGATGATGGTTGAATTGTGTCACAGATCCAGGCCTCTTTGCATCAGACAGCCACCCATCAGCTGAGCAGGGAGGAAGGATGTTAATTCACAGAGACGGCTGCTTGTTTCTCAATCACAGCTGCCGGGTTGCACAGCCTCCGGACATGAGAAGGGCTCGGCTCCTGCATAAAGGCAGCAGACAGAGCTGTAATGATATTCAGAGTGCACCTGTCTTATTGTGAGTTATTACTTGGTGGTTAATGTGTTGTCGGCGAGGCAGATGGGTCCATATCACCCAAGTGTCACTGATTAGGTCCTACCAAGATGGCTTGGTTGCTTCATTGTGCGCGAGGACTGGTTTTAGTAAGAAGACAAAGGAAAAATAAATCAGTTGTAGCTTAAACTGTGGTTTTGTGTTGAAGTTTGTTTGAATGCAGTGGCTTCGGGCGAGCTCGACAGATGTTAACCCCTGCAGCTGATGAATTCCTGGCGATATCCGGAGGCCGCCTGCCAGAGCTGAGATCTCTTAAGGACCCTGGGTGATGGTGTTCACTTTGTTCAAGCCGCTCAGCTGCCTGATCTCGCATTTGCATGTGAATAGAGGGAGCTGCTGCTGCATGGAGCGACCAGGGCGGCTTGGACTCCTGTTCTGTAACTAAACGACCACAGTGTGGTTGTTGGACTGCAGCTCTGCCTCACCTCCTGTTTGCCAGATTTATAGGCGGCTTATGAAGTGGGCTCAACTTACAGCAGCTGCTTGACATTTACGGTGGTGACTTTGGGGGAATAAACCTATACTTCCTCATTATTTTATACACACATGTGCTTTAAAACCCTAACAATCAGGCTTGCTTGGGAGACGCGGGGGTGATATATATCTCTGCAAACCTGAACAAACACTGTTTGTGTTCAGCTGCTCTTGTGTTCATGTCTTGTTGCTAATTGACTGCAGGATCTGTTGGCAGTATTTCTGGAATCCCAGCCTGCGGTGATTCACTGATAACATTCTGGAGCTCAGAACATCTTTGCCCTACCGTCTTCATCTAGCACACTGACTCATTGTATGTTTATGAAAATATATATTTTTTATTAACAAAATCTTTGAACAGTGTTAAAGATCTTTTGAAATGGCATTTTGAGGGTTGGTGGAACAGTTACCTACACGTGCGTCCAGCACCAGATTGGAAACAGCGGGGAGCCAAAAGTCACTCAGAGACGACTTTCATGCTTGTTGGACATGAGGTTGAGGACAGTCAAGAACATCTCCATAGATTTGTCCATTGTTTTCCTCACAAACAGCAATTTGTTTTGTTCATAACTTCAGACCAGGCTACACATTTCTCAGGAAGGTGAACTGTGCAGTGATTTGGACAAATCATGTCTTTTTGGGCTGTGATGTGAGCGTTCTGCCAAACCTCCTTCATTTTTTGAACCTGCTATAACATACTCATAATATGTTGTTTTTGTCTGTGGTGTATAATCTTTTTGAATGATTTAAACATTTTAATTGGGCCACGACACACGTTTGCATTGCTACGCAGAATAAACCCACACAACCGTCAAAAACGGTTTTATGTGACGGTATTTAGTTTGTAGCACGGCTTTTTTTTTTGTAGCAGTGAATCTTATGCTGACGCTACATGGTTGAGTTTGTTGCCGTCAAGGTGAGATTGGGTGAGGTAGCTGTTAACATCTTGTTGGGCAGCATGAAGCTGGTTGTGCAGAAACTGAACAGAAGAAAATGTCCCACTGAGTCATTGGCGGAGGGTCCTCCAGCTGCCTGCTTTTTGGTAAATCTGCTACAGACTAAGTGAACGGTGAGAAAAAGGGATTAATTCATTCACTGTTAAAGCAGCAGTCTTGGAAAAGCTTGTTTATTGTGCAGAGCAATAAAATCTCTGCTTCATTTCACTAATTAAATGTCCTGATTTCTGTTTAAAGATTCATATTGATAAATAAAAAAATCATTCTTTTAAAAACTACCACTTTTAAGTGAATTCAAACATTTATTGTCATGGAAAGCATTTGTTCTTTTTCAGCAGCTGATTATTAATTGCACCAAAGTGAAGATTCTAGCTAAACAGCACTTCATCAGATTGTTAACATGCACAGCTTTGTTTAGGTTATTACCTTGAGTCTAAATTATTAAAGGGCCAATATTATGTGTTTCTTAGGCATATATTTAAATACTGTACCATAATAAAGTATCTATGTCACCTTTAGTTGTTATTAAAATGCTCTTTTTGTGTTTAAATAGAAAATAAACGTATCTTCTCATCACTTCCTCTTCTAAACGCCTTGAAATTGGCCTCTGTCTCTTTGAGAACCCCTTCCACTCCCGTTTTGCCCACTTCAGTGCAGGGGTGGTGGTGGTGGTGGTGGTGGGGTGGGGTGTTGCGCTCGCGAGGGGGTGGGGCCGCTATGATGCGGTTTACTTGGCATCTGAAAATACATTTCCTCAAAGGTATTTTTAATCTGAAAAGAGCTTCACTGAGTGAGAAGTAGTGTCAGCAGACAGTTTCAGTTTCACTTTCATTTTCACTCGTTTGCTTTGTTACTGCTGAGAGCCTGCAGGAGTCATGGGCAGGGTGTGTGGGGTGGGGGGTGCTCCACCATGAGGAAGTTCGGCTCAAAGACACATCCCAGGGGCGTTCCTGGTCCCCACCTGTCGTTTTGCTCCTCAGCATGGCTTCCTAAATTTGCTGCAGGATTTCTCAAACATGCATGAATGAGTCAGAGCAAGGCTTTGGGCATGTTTTTTTTTTTATGAGAGTAAAACATTATAACATGATATAAAAGTAAAAAAAAATTATTTTACATGATATTGCCCTTTTAAAGACATTTTCTATAGAGGATGCATACTTCATGCATGCTTCCTGCTTTTTTCTAGTTGTCTAAAGTTTCTTACAAAACTCTTTCAAGCCAATTTGAAATGCCTTCATCTCATTTTGGTGGGATTTATGAAAAGAATTGTCAGCACGGGGGTGGGGTTAAAGTCAACCTGCCTCTTTTAAGCCTCTGAACTTGTAGGTAGTCACATGGTCAAAGCAGTCAGTCTGTGCAGGGGTAAGGTTGTGATGTAGTAAGACACACAGTTATTTTTGACCAG